CAAGACAAGCCCTCACATGGAATTCCCAAGGCCAAAGGAAAAGAGGAAGACCAAAGAACACATTACGCCGAGGAATGGAAATAGACATGAGAAAAATGAACAAGAATTGGATAGAACTAGAAAAGAAGGCCCAGGACAGAGTGGGTTGGAGAATGCTGGTTGGCGACCTATGCTCCATTGGGAGTAACAGGCGTGAGTAAGTAAGTAAGTAACACCATCGGAATTCATTACTACATGAGTTTTATAGCCATTTGTATTGTGGGCTTAGTAACATGAGTACAGCATTCAAAGAAAATGAGGTTGATTTCATCTAGAAAATCCAATGCTAAATATATGTGAACCTTCGTTATATACTGCATTATTCGAAATAAATAGTTTTCTTTCAAAAATGGCAACGTTGGGTACTAGTTTCTTAGATTTCACTGAACGTATTGTGTTATGTATGTCATCAAAATATAATTGCTACACATTTAATTAGATATTTTTACGATAATATGAATGAAACATTTACTCATTTCATATGCAATTTCAATTTCTGTCAATGCTCACCTGTATCTTTCCATTACATGTGGAACAACTATTGAATGTATTAAAAGAGAAGTTCCACTATGTTGTCCACAAAGAGACTTGAAAAGTAATTAAAAAGAGAGATTTAATAAATTGCTAATTATAATTTGAACAAGAACCCAAAATCATACAGTTAACTTTAAGCGAACACCATTCCTATCATACTTTTGGCATACATAGTTCATAGTTATATAATATACCCTTGTAGGCTAGGGTATTTTTACATTGTTTTTCAGGAGAACCAGATACCACCCAGACCTTCACGTGACAACCCAAGCAGTACAGCTCAATCCCGTTTAACAGAAGAGACAGACACCGCCCAGGCTTAAATTTTATAAACCGAGCAGTACAGCTCAATCCCGCCTCACAGGAGAACCAGACACCGTATAGGCTTTAACGCTACAATCTGAATAGTACAGCTCAATCCTGTGGCGCAACCACACAGGTTCCAAGCACCCTGGTGGACCATTCGCACTATTCATATACACATTCACATCACATCGCCTGAATCAAATGTGCACAGCACGAACAGGCCAAAGTCGACCTAGTCCACATACACCACAGTCAAACTCATTAATGTTAGCAATGGCGACATGCCTTACAATGTCACAATGACAATGGCCCTTGAGAACACTGAAAAACAACCACCAGTATGAATGAAATCGGTTAACCAGCAAACCAATTTGGGGCATGAACAGTCAGCAAAACTTGCCAAAGCAATGCCGAACCATCCACAATACCAATGGCGAACTTCCAGCCTCATATTAGACCTTCAGCCCTACATAGCCATATAGCTTATGGCTTCGGACACGTATAAAAATGATATGAATATTTGAGATATTTGATCAAATTCAATAAGTTTTCAAATGAATATATTTGAGTTAGTTGGTAATTGTCGCTTTACCAATTTATTTATTGGTCTACATTTTCAACTTGATTGATTTGTTAGTTTCTATTGTTTAATTGATTTCACTAGACTGGATGGAAATTTTGCCAAGTTGGAATTTTTTTCTACTAAATTTCAAAATGAATTTAATGATAATTCATATGCAAGTGAATGATTCACAAATACGTTTGATTTTGACGCTTTATTGAAAATGGAGTGAATTGGTAAGTCTCCTAGGCTTAATAATGTTGTTATGGGGTTTATATATGCTTTCTGACAGATTGTAAATAGAATAAATCGGAAAAGAATTCGGTAGTTTGAGTCAATGTGGAAAAATATTTATAAGCATTGAAGAAGCTATCAGTAGCTAAGTACATAACGTGAAGGTATTTATGGCAATTGGTCCCAGAGTGAACATCAGCTATGGAGCACAGGTACATCCAGCTGAAGAGCCCTAAATAGGTTGAATCGCACTTCCTGGAATCCACTGCTAGCCATCGTACACCTTCATTTACACTAAAGAAACTGTTTTTATTGTTTACTGTGTATGTCTACTAAAATAATAATGCCAGCTTTGAAATATGTTGGTGAATTAAATCTCCAGGTAAAAATTTAGTAACAGAATAATTATAAATGAACGAAATATACGATGAGCATTGGTTCCTTATAAGTAACTTAACTTTCTTTGGAATTTCATTATTACTTATGTATATTACTAATGTGTACTAGATTCCGAATACAACAAATAGTATAATATAAAAGTAAATATCTCTAGACATTTTGATAAAACATAGTGATTTATAACATGGAAAAAACTGTGACTTGCTTGTGCAAATGAGAGAAAGAACAACTGATCAGATATAAGAGAGAGATTATAATTTTGATTAACACTATTCGAATACTTCTCATATAAACGCCTGTACGTCTAAGAAATGTAAATAAATTTATATAATATAACGATTATTATAAATGAGTTAATGGCTTTCTAAAATATGGTTGCATTATTGTTATAATGGAATATTTTAATAAATGTATACATGGTTTAAATGGAGAATACTTATCTCAAAGATTATTGATAACTTCGTTTTTTTTTTTACTATCAACAATCAAAACACATACACAGATTGTTTCACATTGTTTGTCGATGTTGAATGAGAATTTAGGGAAAAGTTTCGACAAATATTTATATAATGGACAGGTTCATGGTCTGAGTTGTCTACTATTCTACTCAATGAATAGATATTGAATATTTACTCTAAATAGTAACTAATTCACATACTCTATGATATAATCCAATCCATTTTTCTGAATGATGAATTATTTTGGAACATAGATAAAACTTCTTTTTTGTTTTATCATACGATTGATCTTCACACTTCAAAATAGCAGTGAACTTTACAAATTTGATAGACAATACAATATCATTAGCCGTATAGAAGATTGTAAAATCAGTTTTTGTCTATTGTTTTTTGTATTCAGAATAACAATCACTGACTGTAAAAAAGGAACATCTGACTTCAAATAGCAGACGACCTAACTCAAAATCCAGTCATTTGAAACACGTATTGTTAATGGAGTTTTTGCACTGATATAGTTGAGCCATATCCTTTTAAAATCTGTTTGTTCAATCTCTGTAACTTTAGTCTGATTAAGAGGTGACCAATTTTTTAAAGCGCTGAAACAAATATAAAAGTGCAATCAATATATCGACAATTTGATGTTGTGAATTTTTATCTGACTCGATGTTTGGTGTTATTATTCACTTAACTAGTTGTACAATATTTATTTGGAGTTGGTCGCCAATTATTGTTCTTCAATAAATAGTTATGCCATGTCTAACTCAGTTGTTCGTTCTGTCTCAGCAACCGGTTTTAGGCATCTAAAAGTCTTCTGAAATCAGAAGAATCGCTTAACCGAACTCATCGTTACAACATAGCTAATGTGCTTAATAGTGTTTTCTCACAATTGCTTGATCACTGGATAGTGATTAATGTCAAGTATTTAATTTTTATCTTACTGCTGATCGAATTCTATCGATCACGTTGCTATGTGGCTACTAGTCTAAGTGACTCAATGTCGGATCCCCTATGTTATGATGTAAAGTGTTATATTTAGAATACAGGAAACCCTGTTTGACAGTTCTATTTTCTACAAGTCGACAAAATGTTCCTGTTATATTGAGGGTGGTGGTACTTCTGGCAGATCTGAATAATCATCACCCGGCTTCACAAAAAGCCAAAAGGGCTATTGAATTACATTATGAATCGATATGTCTACCTCATAAAGTTTATGATTTATTCAGGGGAATAATTAAGGATACATTTTATCCTCGATTTAATGTTAATCCGTTTATGATATTTTGCTGACTAAACAGAATTTTATGCATTCATCTTTCAACTGACAAACTACGTACTGTAGTTTTATGTGTTTCTATTTAAGTAATCCAAATGTTTGGTATTTTACTTCAAAGGTTCCATGTTAATAAACATTTCCTATAAGTTACATAAATGTACTTACATAGTAAGACGCTTTTAAACCTCCAATATCGGCTAGAATTTCATCTCGTGTATCGGTTTGAAGGGCCTAGATCAATTAAGTAATTCAAAAACGTGTTATGTGATGTTGTGAACATTGAATTTAAGCATTTTGTATAATTCTGATTTTACATTGAAATGCTCCATGTAACTTCATGACATAAATTTTATCAGTTAGTCTACATTATCTATAATAGTCGATCATCTCTGACATAATGAAGACATCAGCAAAATTATAAATCACTTTGTAAGGAACTTATAGTCAGTTCTTACTTACGTTATCCCTTTCATCATAAAATTGATTGAAATTTTAAGATTATTAAATCTCCCTAATGATTTGGTATTAGATGAATGTTCTAATGTGAACTCATATAGGTTATATGAAATTCAGGGTTGGAGTAGATGATATTGGATTGTTTTCAAAAACCATTATGGGGTAAAATGGTAGCTAAGCAAAATAACTAAAAGAAAAAAAGGCTTTCAATGTACATAGTAAACATCTAATTGGACAGTGTATATTCATTATGAATAATGTTAACTACACACATTACATTAATAGTGAGTCCCGTAACATTTGATTTTCACGATAAAGGTGAATTATGTAACATAAATATTTTTTCGGTTCATATATTTAAAGCAATTAGTCCCTTTGATAAATTTTGTTAGTGTAATAAAAAGACGAATACTATCAGAACGATGTGATATATTAGCGCAACACATTACGAACAATCTGATCACACATAATATGCTTGTTAAGAACATTGATTAAAGTCAACTAGGCTGGAAATGGGCTGGCGTGAGTTTAACAAAATAAGTAAACCGGTGTTTTGTGTAATGCTGACCAAATGTATATTCCTTGACAATCATAAAATGTTTTAAGTTAAATACAATTCACATGAAGGTTGTTGTGTTTTTCTTTTTATACTAAATTACCGAACTTCTAAGTGCTTAATGACTGCACAAAAATATAGGTATACTTTCGTATGCTAATACCTATAATTTATTAAACTTACTTTGTAATCGGTAAATTCATAAAGTCTATATTGATCACTAATACATGAAGCTTTAGTTTCTATCACAGAAGATAACATAAGACCAGCCAAACCAGTTAGACTAGTACCAGCTGAATCAAACAGTACACCTTGAAATTCAACAAAATTAATGGATTATTATTGATTAAAATGATAATTATTTTTAACATATCATTTTTGACATAATTAATAGTTTCCGTATTCAGTAAACAGTTGACAAATAAATAGTAGAAGGAAGGGTAAACAGAAATCAGTGCATATTTGTTTGATAATCACCAGTTTTTACATCGATCGGAATGAAAGGCTAAAACAATGAATTCGTCAGAAACTAATACAACGGTCACTATAAAAGATGGATGGTGTCTAGCAGTGGAATCCAGAATACTCGTTTCGTTTTATTTGGGACTCATCAGTTAGATGAACCTACATCCTAGCTCTGCTTATAATGCTTATGACCTAAGACAATATCAAGCCGATCCTCATAAGATGCACATATATCAATAAGAAATTAATCTATAGCAGTCCTAAACATCAATGAGAAGATTCAAACAACCAATATCAAAATGAAATTATTATCAGGACAACAGCAGTCTAATGTTGTATGCGAAAACGAGTCTGATATTCAATGTATGGTAAAAGGGTAATACTCAGTATCCATTAGTCGGTGATTTATAAAATAAAATGGTTTTGTGAAGTTCGAAAGATTAAAAACAAGGAAACTAATGAAAACCAAATTATGAATCACATAATTCATTGATTTCTAATGAACATGCCACTATCTAAATGTACCTTCAATTGATAGTGAGTGTACTCTCGTGAGACGTGGATCGATGACACAAACGAGCTTTTCAATCAGTTATTACAAGTAACCGATATGAGTATGAACTAAGCTGACATGGATGTGGTCAAGTATTTGATAGTCAAGCTGAAAAGATTTAATATTTCGTTCGAAATACAACTAGACTAGACTAGTTGAAGCCAATCTACAAATCGCTGCATGGTATCGCAAGCAAGGTGATTTATACATTACTGAACTAAACTGGAACTTCCACCTGTTATTATATTTGAATATTTAAATATTGTGAGGATTGATTAATGGATTCTTTCTATTCATATTATAGTGAATTGTCGTGAGATCGCTCTCCTTTCAGTGATGTGCTGATTTCGAGAATGTATCGATACAGGACACAGGTGGTATTTTGTGATTCTGTAATCGTAAAACGCTTAATACTGACATGTGGAGATTGTACACGATGACAAAATATTATTCGGATATTACGTGATGTTTGTCCACAAGGTTAGTTTTAACAAATGAGCAACAAACTGAGGTCGTCAAACTCAGGATGTTGATATTTTGTTGATCAGTAGAACAAATGATTCTGATCAATACACCTTAATAATTAGTCAAATAGTAAATTTCTCTATGAATTCATGAGACAATTAAATGATATTGTGGTTTTATGAACAATATTATACCGAAAGTAATAATTTTATACAAGTTAATTAATATTACTTTTAAGAAACTGAAAATTCAGTATACTGATTGAACAAACCTTGGATACCTATTCCGTGCATAATCTCATGACTTATAATCCAACCAAGTGCTCCAAATTTCGAAGCTAAACTACCATTTTCATAATAAAGTGGAGGTTGCAACACTCCAGCATTCATATAAACACGGTTTGCATTCATATTGTAGTAAGCGCGAGTTGTAAATATCGGTAATTCTAAAGGAGATCTATTCACATAAAAATAATAGTCTTGATTAATTATGTCGTCATCTCTCACTGAACATTTGATAGATTTTTCAACTTAGAGGACAACTATTTAGTTATGAATAACGTATAATAAAAACTGTGACAGTTTTATTGCAGAGTTCTTGAATGTATTGATAGTCAACTACGAAATGTAGTTTTTACCTAAGATTAGATTTTCTACTCAATGAACCATTTGATTTTATTGTGCAATATTTATCAATACTCTTATAAAATAGTTATTTATATGAAAAGTATCTAGTTTACATTCAGTTTCCATGTGCCTTCAAAAGTGAATATATTTCTATCACTTTAGAATGACTTATTTTCGCTGTTTAACGCTACCTGTGTGTTCTATTGAGTGACATGAACGGATGCTGAGAAAAAAATAATCAAAGTTCTAGGTACCAAATTACATGTTCATCTTCATAGGTAACAACAACAATAACTACTACTACTGCTGTTACTAACACTAATAATAATACAACTATTAACAATAATAATCACTCTATTTTAATAACTTAAGTGAAATATTTCTGAATGAATATTATATATGTAATACACTCCGAGACTGGAGTTACAATAAATCCAACGTTTTACTCCATGGTCTGGTCTGAAGTTCGGCAAGTGAAATATTGTCATTGTGATTTCTGTTCATAATTTTTCGCATTGTTATTAACACCAATTTAAACATAATCATTTACCTTCAAAGCATTGAACCCACCTTGTTATTTCTTACTGATTTCATATCTAACACTAAATATCTGGATCTAATGCGTAATTATATTATCTTATCACACAGAGGACAAGATAATTGATTGTATAGCTTTGAAGTGAGTCTACAAATTCAGCTGTTTCTGCTATATTCGGCGTACAATCAGGCAACCGACATATGAGTGAACATACCTTAGCTTGGTCTGGAAAATGCCAGACGAAGATAATGCACAGCTCTGTCTTCGCAGTAGTCGTGTGGTAGATAAATCTTAATCGATTTCAGTGATCTATCGTGAACCTTCATCAGTTTCTAATGGGCTTCTACCACGTCTACTAAAAATAGCAAAATCTTTAGTGATTCCAACGTATAACACTATTTTAAGTGTTCAGAAGTATTTAGTGACACCACTTTCACATCATTGGCCGGTTATCACTAAATATAAGATCTCATTGATTTTCTTGCATCCTGTATCCGTTTATCACTTTTCACCTCCTTCCGTCTATTTTCTTCACTACGTATATAATTACACACTCTCTACTACACAATTTTAATTATTTGTTGATTGCAATTTTAAAGTCCATTTATCTAAGCTTGACCTACCTTTATTGTCTAACTATTGACTAGAACTTTTGTCATTTCTTTTTTTACCACTACTAGTACACCTTTATTCTTCTTATTGATCTGTACTTTCTAATGTGTAGTTGTACAATTTATTTCATTATGACTATTGACTCACAAATTGCTTTGATTAGTTTAATGTTTTTATTAACTCATACATCCATGTATATTAAATTGAAGTTTGATGAAGATCCAAATGAAAACAATACTGTTCGGCTATATGTATCACATTATTATTGTGCTCAACATATATTATATATTTTCATTTTAGTCATTAACCTTGCAATTTCATTTGATACAGGGGACATGTTGAAGTTGACACTGCATATTAATCGTTTCAGCATTAAAAAGTTTCATTTTATTTTATAAACAACTCTGAGTTTCTATGGCTATTCGTCAATATACATCAACAAAATTGATTGTAGGAGAGTTGTAACAGAAGTATAGGGAATGGGAACAAATAATCACCGGATTAACAATTTTTTGGGTAAATTTTGTTTCATTTACGTGATCACGAAAACATACAGGTTTCAGTTTTGACTCATGTGCATGTTGAAATCATTTAGCGAATTGTTAGGTGGAATGGTTTACATTCATACAACAATCATGTTGAATAAATGATGTCAGTTCAAACAATAGGTGTAAATAATAGAAAATGGTTTAGTTATTTAGTTATCTGATGGTAATATAGATTCTGATATACAGATGGAATATCATTAAATTACTGACCTGGTTTAAATAAACGATCTGAAATCACGAAAAAATACTTATTTGAAATATAATAAGTGAAAGGAGCAGACGGATTGTCATTTGAAAGATTTAGATCATTAGTGATTATTTTACACAGATTTTAGTCTGTTATTTGGGTTCACATTAGTAAGTAGTGTCAAATCTCCTAAAGACGATAATATAAAGATGCTATTTGATATAATAGTAGTTGTAATAATAATAGTAATAATGGACAATTAGCATTTGTCGTTTGGGTTATAAAATGAATGAAATCTTCTTACTTCATTGCCACATTGAATAATGTAATGAAGGCACAGAAAGTTTGCTTAAGGAAAATGATTTGTACATCCTTCTGTTTTCTAAGATTTTAATTAGCATATTCGTTACAAGATTTAGAGGAAGATGTCCAAATACGAACCAAACACACACTAAATCAGTCCACGAAATCAATTTGATTTCATGGTAATGTGGGTTCTATTCAGTAGAAGGCATCAATCCATAAGATAATTTCGATTAAAGTATATTCAAATCTTTGCAGTTAAATAATAAAATTAACAATTTGTGATAACTTGTATTGTTTTTATATCAGAGATATCATGACAACTTACGGGTTATATTTGTGTAATTGAGTTTTCAAAGTGTCAATATATTTCGCTTTACGGATATAGAATTCATTTGTGTAATAATTGTCCTCTCGAATAGGGTACTAAATATTATTTGTGTGAAAAAACATTGACAGAGATCATTTAAAAGATGTTTAAAGCACGTTCGACACATTCTGTTTTCCAGTTTATTGAGTAAGTATTTCTGAATCAAGGGTTTTGGGAAAATGCAGTGTCATTGAAGCAACATTTCGGATTTTCATTGTCAAACTAATCATTGTCACATAAATTGACTTTCCTCAATTTGTAACGCCGAAATACTGAAATGATTTGACTAATGCATAAAATTGTGCGAATAGTCCTCGTGTGATTATAAATTTCTCACTTGTACTATTACGAGATTTTAGGTGATGATTTCGTACACGCATCCAAGTAGTTGAATTATGGTGAGATTGGTGTGCAGTTTTTGATGACCAGCAGATTGGTCCATAAATTGACCGATATATTTGAATCTGTTAGGATTTAACCTCTGAGTTTCCGAACTGCAGAATAAAGACCAGTGAGTTGAGGTTTCTCTGCCACGTAATGATTGAGGCAAACCAATGTTGTTTGGAAATGTGAAATATGGTTTTATTACACTAAGTTTTATCAATGATGAGTTCTAGGAACAACGGTGTTTTATAAGTTTCACATGTCTCCTCCGTGATAACCGGAGTTATTTTGTGTAGAATTAGCTTATTATTATGTACAATGATATATAATATAACCAGTTTTCAATCAAATAATCGTTAGTTGTATCAAATGGACATGTAAAATAATTTATTTTTCAATAGTGAAATAAGTGTAGTTAACTTACTTGGAATACTGTTGAGAGATTTTCTTTTTGTTGAGAAGCATTTTGATTGGAGTACAAGGCAAATATGCTCAATTTCGAAACTTTGTCTTGCAAAAATGGCTTTTCTGTCTCACCCAACCAGTTGAGTTTTGATGTTGAGTCAATTACAGTGAGTTTAATTTCGTTAAACATATTGATCAGCAGTAATACAGTTAAAACTAACTACGCTGAGAAAGTGTGTGTCATGTTTGAAAATCATTACGAACAAGTTACAAGAGATAGGTTGTGAGATTTAAACATGAGCACATCTTAGGCCTGAGCCAAGCAACCTAGTTACAAGTTCACGGCAAGTGGTTGTACTATAGCAACTGTCCTACAACCGATTTCGATTATGGTTAATTTTGGTCATGCTCTTTTATTGACTTACTTAACATTCAATGTTATTTGAACAGTAACGATTTGCATATCTCACTGTACCGTTATGATCACTAGATCACATGACAGACTCTAGCTAAAGTGTGAATATCTTAAATGTCACTCGATGATTCATCCTCCTCCCCATGTATGCATGTACTCAAATCCTATTATTAGTCCTTGCTTTGCCTTGGTGTACACTTATTCGATTTAACTATAAATTTGCCTCTGTATTTGCTCGCATAAACATATTCGCTTCTCTGCTTCATATTCGTTTAATATACTTATAGCATTGTGATCTGCGCTATCTGCTAATAAACTGTAATTGCCGCTTCTCACTGCCTTCTGATTTCAAACAACGTTGATATTTATGTAATAACGGTTACGAGAGTGATTGATTAACAAAGCTATGCCACTACAGTATGATGGATTTTGGTTTTTCAAATCGACCATTGTTCTCTGTTCATCAAGAATATGTTTTTGATATTTAAAATGTGTACCAATATACAGTCTAGAAGAGTAGCTTACCAAGATCATTTGGATGGATATCAGAATCTGTATTTCAAATGGATTTGGTGAGAAACATGGTATATAGCTAATAAAACATTTTGAGTGGTTAGTTGCCTACTCCTACTAAATTAAACTGTGTTACACTTAATCTTGGCAATGTAATGCAATGTTTACAATAATGAAGTCTCGTCCCAGATTTCAAAAGAGACCACACCAGTGATCACAATTCGTAGGGATTCTGAAGATTATTTGAAAAACAATCAGCTGATTTTTACCGAAACTGTGTTTTTTTCGAGAAAAGTGGTTTGAGTTGACTGTCTGACCGAAACCAGGTCGATATTGGAACGATGTTGATCATGTTATGTAATTCATGTAGGAACGTATATCCGAAATCGAAAGAATAATTTCACAACTGTTGAGGGACAGGTTTGTAGGTGATGTCGAAGGTATGAAAGTGTTTTGGAAATTCTCATGAATTAACATCAAAGTAACCCTAATTTTCGCATCATAAACTTTGTCAATTCGAAGAGTAACCAAGGTCAATGTTATTTAACACAAATA